TGATGACATTGATTTTGTCTTTTTCAGACAATGATTGTTTTTCATTTAATTTCACTTTTCAAAAGAACTCCGTCAAAATGTTTTTATCTAGAAAACTATTGTTTCCTTACATTTTTCGATACAGTTTAATAAGTTACTTTCTAATGTGAGATTTGTTTTTCATTAAAAATGGTTTTGAACAGAAAAAAACAGATTGTATCTGAAAAAGTCAAGGTATTTAAAATATGTATATCTCCGTGACGTTGGTTTGTGCATATGTATGTAAACATCACTGATATGGGACATTCAGACAAACATTCTGACCAGAGATCGTCTCAAATTATTTTTCGATCTGGATCGTATGCGGACTCATAAAGTTTAATCTGCCTCGAAGAAGAAGCGTACGTTTTGGAGCGGTCCGTTCATGACCCAGCCTCCAGACCACACAATGTTAAAAGTACTGGATTTTGATGATATACCAGTAGGATGTAAGTTTATTGAAGCATAGTTTCCTTTGTAATATCCTTTAGTTTGTCCGAGTCGTAAGATTCTCTGCTTTTGATCACCGACATTGGTGTCTATGACTGTTGCATTCGTAATTATAGGTGAGGGTAATAAGAATTCATAGCTCCCATGTTCGTTGAACAAAATTAGAAGTTTTGTTTTATACTTTAATGCTTCTAGTACAATTGACGTCAATTTTTCATCTCTCTTTTGGTTTTGCTGATCGATGCGCATACATATGCCATATAGATCAGACATTTGTAATATGCTTGTCACATGTGCAGATTCTGTTCTCTATGCACTATGTTCAGTTTCCACAGTGATATTTGAGATGATGAAAATGCTGGAGAGGACACGTAGCAGAGACAAAGTTAAGACAAGAAGTTATTTATCTCGTCAGAAATCTGTCCTTTTATCTAACGTGAGGACGAGAGGATTAGAGGATTCTATCAATTTTCCAGAGCAATTTTGGTAAAATTAATCTTTTGTACTACAAATCAACTCTGAAAAACGAAACTTCATGTTAGTAGATAACTCTCATATTAAAGTTTACTTTCTGGTATTTGAATGAGAATGAACGTGTCTAAGAAGTGGTATGTTTTTAAATAATTTATTAAATAATTAATCAATGGATAAATATTTCTGCTAACAAAATTTGGATCTTGAGGGTATCAACATATACTACCCATTTTGATAAATGTGTATATAAACCGAGCATCAGATATTTGATGTGTAGTGAATTTAAAATACCACATTGTATGGAGAATTTGATCAACGTTTCGTATGAAATAGGAACGATTGTTGTCTTTTGACAAGCTAAATATAACAGACTGTCTTTTGTACACTGATTTTTCCATTTTCCGCATGCTTCAGTGTTCTTATGAATTGTATCCTATAAAAATTCTTCTACTCCTTTTCAAAGCTGCTGCTCACAACTTATAGATCGTGCGGTCAACCATCCTGAGTTTGATTGCCATTTCAAAATTGTTTGATAAGAATGTTTTACTTAGGGAGTATTTCAAAATATATTCCGATTGCTTTGTCGCTATTCCGACACTATTCCGTTCGTTCTGTATAGCTGTGATACAGAACGGTTTTATATACAACTACCTTGTTTTGTTATTGAATAACTTTTGATAAGAACAAGACAGAGGCATTCGGTTTTCACCAGTCGATAGCCAGAACCGGAGTACGTGATTCGATGGAACAAAACTTTTCAAAATCCTTCGTAAATATTGGTTTCTGATAAGATTTCTGCAAAACCAGATTGGTATTCGAAAGTTACCACACAAATATTTTCGTTTTCTGTCCTAGTTCGATACCAAATAATCAAGGGACAAAAAAGTTAATTTAATATGATTTCGCTAAATTATTCTTTTTACTAATATTAGCCATTCTATTTAGTTTATTCTACTATGATAATCCAAATGCCATTTTCTTAACGAAACAATAACCAAAGGATCGATTTACGCAAGTGTTATGCTTTATACAATGTTTAAAGAATCGATCAGTGAAAAAAAGATTCTTGACGCCCTGATATAACGGTTAAAGATATGACTGCATTTATTATGGAGCGCCTTGGATCAATGAAGATGTTACAGAACGCCCAAACGCACTCTCACAATAAACATGTTTGTAGTAAAAGTTTCAAGTTGGAACCAGATGTGGTTCGAGAATGACAACTTTGAATACAAGAATTCATCTCAAAATACATAGATACAGTCCGCTGTTCAAAGAGCTCACATTTTTTTAGTGGTCTTCAGTTTTAGAATTCTGGTAGAGAACACTTCTGACGAAGTATCTGTGAAATGTTCATGTGGGAACCATGTTTCGTAGATGAAGCATAAACGCATATTCTAATTTTCGTACAGTTTTGAAAAATATAATTTTCGATTAATTCGGCATCCACATAAAAACGGTTGTGGATGTTGGTCCATTACAGAATATTCACTTCAGTATAGTACAAAATGTCGAGCGGTGATTGAGTGATAGTAAGTAACTATCAGTCTAAATCATAACTTCACATGTCTAGATGATAGTCAACCTTTTGTTAACAAACAGTATTTTCGTTTTGCCATAATTGGAAACTATCAGGGCTCCGTATGGTCCCAATTTGTGGGACTGAATCATAACGTTTTGGAGCCGCGACCGCTTTGGATCATTTTCGATACACATCAGGCCAATCTGAATTATAAAGTTTTTTTATTACTTCGGACGATCCCTCCTTTTTGAAACTCAGTTCTATTTTTATAACACAGAACTGTTCAATTTCAATTTTATCAAACCAAGTCAGACCAAATAGATTCCGGTCCGGTCCAACTTGGTCCTGGACCGGACTATACGGAGGAGCCCTGATAACTATCTCATTTATTGGAGAAAAAAAACTAAAATCACACCGCTTTTTGTTGGCCAATACACGAAATTTTTTTGTTTAATCATCAATTGTTTTCTTCGTGTTGCTGAGACAACTTTATGCGCGACGCTTCGGATCTGCTTTGATAAAAAAACAATGAATAATTTATTTTTAATAAAAGTAAATTTATCTACATTTTCATTTGTACAGCGAACGTAATTGTGAGTGAAAAAAGAATTTTTTAGTTAAACGAAAAACATTGATCCTTAGAAGTTATTGATGAATTATGTGTTGTTGTGAAATATAAAAAATAGACTTATACAAGATTAAATTATCATTTCAATGACTAATCGGCAATATCAACAACAGCCTGGTGGACGTGATCAATATTTAGATAATTGTTTTTTATTATGTATTAATAGGGACAATGAACGTGATATACCGCAAGTAATGCAACTCGAAGGAAGTGTTATGCGGGATCTGTGTTCAGGTGTTAGTGGAAGGGGCGGACTAACGGTACAACGGAGTCAAAGACAACAAGACAATGAACAAGATTATGATGATATATCACCATTAAGACAACACGATTATTCAACAACAACAGGTATCTCATCTCTCTTATTTTTATACTCGTCTAATTCTCTACAATAGATTCTGACGAGGAAGGCATTTTCAGATGGTAATAGTAAAACATGAAGACACCCACAGACAGCACATAGATATCCATACACATACACCCATGGAGGTCTGTGTAGCTGTCTGTGGTTGTATGTGTGCTGTCTGTGGCTGTCTGTAGTTGTATGTGTGCAGCTGTCTGCGGGTGTCTGTGGGTGTCTTCATGTTTTACTATTACCCATTTTCAGATGTAGCTTTTTTGATGAAACATAATGTTTTAACGAAATTTTCCTCTAGAGATTCATCATAAACTTACGAGATAACAAATCTTAACAGTACTATTTTGTAGAGTACTCAAGTTACATATGTACAAAAATGAATGAAGTTTATAACTGCGTTCTAATACTTTTCATATGTAAAGTATGTACAAATTGAGGCTTTCAACTGATTGAAAAACTAGAAATACGCATCCACAAGCAGAGCACAGTCCTCTACATGCACATATTATTTCATGTTCAATTTGCTGATACGTAACTAATATCAGACACAAATATATAACTAGTGAATAAAATCAGAATGAATTTGCATCATACAAGCGTTTTTAGATTATTGAAGTTTAATAGTGCTCTAATACGACCCGTCGGCTATGGAAATGAGCATCAACAGCAATAATCTTAATGGATACTTCTCGCATCTTTTTAGTAACTCTTAATGCAGTGACTACTGTTTGTAGTCCGTTGTCATACTTTTGACCAGTTACAATATTGTGTTTCGTAGTTATTTTTTGCCAAACTATATAAGCAGCAGAGGATATTTTTCAATTTTTGAATGTCAAATACTTCATTGGATACAAACAATGGTGAAGGAAGTTTGTTTAATTGGGAGTTATATAAAACAGTATTCTTTCGTGTTCTATTTGTAGATGACTAGTTAACCTAATTTCTCTGATGTTTTTTATTAATATATTGTTGATTAGAAAAAAATTGAATGGTTCGTATTTGTGCTTTCTAGATCAATCAAAACAAAAAAGTTGGCAAGATAGAGTTAGTAATCGTGGATATAGTGATCGAAGCAGAGATCGTGGTAACGATAACGACTCATATCTTGCAACAATTTGAGTTTTATCCTCTTCTTTTTAAAAATTTTAGATTATGATGAACGTGATGGAGTTCTCAGTGATAGAGATCGAGATCGTGGATATAGCGGTCGAGAGCGAGCCCACGGTCATGATGACCGAGATAAAGAACATGATTATTATACACCAAATCAGTATTCAAGAAGAGGAATAACGCCACAACAGCAGCAAGGTCGCCAACGTTCAGGAAAAAGTGATGATGAACTATCGATCTACGAAGTGTATATTCCAACCGACACACTTCAACGTTTATCCGATCGACGATCAGATCAAGTTATTATTGATTTTGAAAATGGTCAATCAAGATCGTTGATGAATCAAAGCGAGCGTGGTGATGAATATCAGTCGGAACAACAACAAGGTTCCAACCAACGCCACGACTTGCATACACCATATTCCGGTCCGTTTTTTCCTGCAGATCAACAGCAACCTACTTTTCATCCCAGTCATCAGAACGCAGTTAACGTTCGACGTCATGTAATACCACAAAATAGTATTCCACAGAAGTGAGTGTTTATTCATCACATGACCAATTTCACCTGACATAACATGCATTGCTATTATACTGTAAATTAAAAAGAGTTTTTTATTTAATAAAACATCGTCAACTACCATTGCGAATTCATGATGCGCTTTCATTTTACGGAAAATATCGAAAAAGTAACATGCTTTACGATGTCCCCAGAAACTAACCCACTGACACTGTGGATAATTTATTTTTATATTTTTTGACTGTTACAGCTTAATGGAAGCCCAGTTAGCCATGTATGCACAAAATAAAGCGCAAATCGATGCAGTATCAGAGCAAGGTCAACCTGCTGCCGTGCAACAACAAACATCGGTTCAGGTGAGTATACACATAGTTAAAGCCTAATGGACAGCTGAAAACTTTTGTTTTCGGAAGCCATCTTCGACTATCCATCAATCAATATCACGCCAACCGCAACAATCAAGTCCATTTGGAATGATCAATCAAGGTCTGCGAGATATTTCGCAAGGAGTATCAACCGCTGGTCAAACAATGCAACAGATACCATCATCTTCTATGACATTTATTCACCCAACGCCCGAGCCACCACGATTAAATACACCCGTGCAGCAGTCGCCGCCGCGTCATCATACATCAATACCAGCGGTTTGTGTTACGTTCTGTATTGTTCGAAATTCTTACATCGCATTTTTTTGCAGGTTACAGTAGAAGTAGAGGAAAGTGTTGCAGAAGGCGAAGGCACGGAAGACGGTGAAACAAGTAGTAAACAAAGTAAATCGAAAAAAATCGATAAACATGGTACTACAAATAAATTGGAAAGTACAAAAGCTGATAAACACAGTGGTCATTCGTCGAAAGATAAAATGGCAGGTGGTAATAGCAAAGACAAAAGAGATATCAGCGGAAAAAAAGATAAAAAAGACAAGAATTCGAAAGGAGGAAAAAGCGGTGGTAAAGATGATAAAAAATCAAAATCGGGTAAAAAGAAAAAGAAATAACGAGGGAAAATGAGTAAAACAAACAATGGGAAAGTATTTTCAAATTTTTGTGTTTCTATAGAAGATACATACGAGACTGCTCTTTCTTCACATAAGGAAATAACGAATAATATAGTTTGTCAAGAAAACATAATACAGGTAGCTCTTCTTGTTCTAATGAGATG